TAGTTTAGACGAACTTAAACTCCCTGTTAGCAAATAATCTTAGTTAACTTAACGACGAACCGTTTAAGCTAACAACGTTTGACATTTTTAGCAGTCAGTTTAGAAAATTAGAGTAAATATTTAATTGTACTCTGTCATTGTATCTTAATTATAAATAAACATTACTTTAATATTATTAGTAATATAATATCATAATAATTTGATTTTACTTACAGTATTTAATATTTGCGATATTGCATCACGTTTATTGCTCATTCCATAAGGATTTTTTACGAATTCCTTATGCAAGGATTCATAAGTTTCTATCGTAAAGTTGTTAATTGTGCCATATTTAGTAATTGCTGCAATAGTGTGATAGATCTAATTGTGTAATTTCGGTAATTGCAATTGTGATGGTGAGTATAACGATAGTAATTTTATGAATATTTTAGCCTATTTAATTATGAGTGACTATAAATTAGATTAAATATTATTTGACATGATATGCATTATACAACGCATACAAATATATATATTGATATACATTGAATTTACTTTGAATGTTTTTAAATCTGATTCTGTGAATTCATCAGATGCTTTGATTTTAGGCAAATATGCTAGTAAAACTTTGACATCTGGTTTATTGTGATGCCAAAATGGTATGTTACTTAGAGTTAAAACCACAGGATGCTCTAATGTTTTTCCAAGTGTATCACATGTCATCGCATCAGAATAAAGAATAATAGAAAGTACTTTAGCGCCTCTATTAATTGATGCTTGTATACGATACTACCACTCATAATTATATTACTCCTGTAACATTTTTCTTCTTCACTATTATCATTTGTTGTATAATTTGGTGTATAATTAAATATACAATGTTTGAGTATTTCTTTATTATATAGCAACTCTTTAATAGTATTGTAAATTGTTCGATGATGCAGTGTATACTGAATTTGGCTGTATTCTATTACAATTGATTTTTATATAGAACATGGGGATCTGCATCGAATCTAACAGTTTTCAGGCTGCTTTTACATTTGAAGGTAATGTGACTGTTGGATCTATATAAAAGTTATTGAATAGGCCAATAATATCATTTACTATAGAGTCAAAAAGGTGATGTGTGACAAGTAACTGTACAAATGCTTCGTACGCTTAATTTGAAAATGATGATATTACATTATTTGCATCCTAAAATTTTTGGGCTAATCTAACATCTATAACAGTCAAAATAAATGAACTTTCATCTATGAGAGATAATAAAGTATAGTTTTGTTCTTTATTTCTAACATCTATCACATCTATTTCATTGTTTCCTTCTTCTTCATCATTGTTCATTTTGCTTTCACTATTTTCGTTGAGAATCAGCACGTTCTGTAGTACAAAATGTGAGAAAATAAATTTGTATAGTTGTGCAACATAAATTTCATTTAAACATATTACATGAACATTCTTATTGTTCTTAATCCAACATTATTCTTCGCATTCGTCATTTATATCTAAAGGCTGTTTTTTAAACTGACTTATAGTATCATTAAATAAGATAGACAAGAGAACAATTCTTTGAAAAGTATTATTAATAATGGTTCTTTTTGGCTCACTTGTATTTTCCTTGAGTGTTAATTCATTTTTGTCCAGATACATCTGGTCTCGATATGTCTGAAGATGATTTCGAAAAGTACTATATTTACTAAACGTTCACAGACAGTATTTGCATTGAAATATTATACTATTTTCATGAGTCAGAGTTCTTTTTTTATTTAATGTATTATGTGATGACATTATTAAGATGATAAATAGTAAAGCTTGAAAAGTTTGTGCAAAGTATGATTTCAAATAATGATTTTAAATAATACATTTATATTGTAATATTTAATTACCTTATTTTGATCAACAATATACATTGTTAGATATTAATTACATCATTTTTTTTAATACTTTCTTTTATATAATACATCAACTTTTTATTCTTTTTTTTTCTTTATAAAATCGTCTTCTTTTCTTTTATAAAATCATCTCTTTATCCTTTCTTTTATAACACATCAACCAACTTTTCTTTTTTATAAAATTTACAATTTTATTATATGACAAAAACTAGTTGCAGTGAAAGTAGTTTTTAAGACTTTGGTAAATAACCGAAGTCATATTTAAAAAAATAATAAGAAAGAAGGACACTTCTCAGAATATGGCATCATTAACTCATAGCAAGAGTAAGAAAATTGCATTGTCTAATGATGAGACTCCAAATAATGATTCTTTGGCTGCTTTTGCACCTATTAAACAATCTCAATCTGCTACACCTCGCTTTAAACTATCAAATTGCAATACACAAGTAAACAATAGTGAAGATGATATTGTTATTTTGTACTAAACAAATAAATTTCGCTGATTTATTATTTGTTGTAATGTAATAGAAGAGTCAACTGCAAATCATATAATAATAGAATAAACCACCTGATCTACTACGCCAAGTATCTGCTATATCTGCCAATTCTGGCAGATCTGTGAAATACACCAGTTCTGTGCGATATGCTAGAAATATAATATATGCTATATATCTGAGAAATGGCAGATATCTTAGAAGTAAAGGTTACGCAGAAACCTAGATGATGCTAGAACCTTCTTTTTCATTAATAATTAATTAACATTAATAATCAATTACATATCTTATATTTCTTTATTTTATTTATTTATATTATCAAATTTCTTATAAATAGGGTAGCTTTAGAACTTCATAAATGACAGAGAATTTACTTAGTTTTATCGTTAACAAGATAATTACTAAAACACTTGTATGCAAACAAATACATTTGTAATAATTCTTTTCTTTAATAAAATTCTAAATTAGTTAACCCATAAATCATACTTGTCTTTTAAAATACATTTGATTGATAAACCTTTAGAAGCTCTCCATAAATCGCATTGTAAAGTCTTAAAGCTAAATCCTTTATTAATCTTGCATTAATACTAATTTTCAGTCGTTAGTATCATAAGATAACAGTAGATGCAAAAACAATCAAAAAAGGATAAGGATATAAGTGAAAAGGGTAATACAGTACATAAAGAAACTCCAATGGTAGTGGTAGAAATTCCCACATGCGACTACTCAATATGATAACAATAAAATCGCGAGTTATCTAGCAGATCATCTATGACTTCAACTTCGAGTACTTGCCAATTTAAGGTAATATATTGATGATAATGATTGTAACGATTATAATATACACATATTTCATTACACAATAATGTTTTAGAGCAATTTTACCATGAATGACGAAAAGCAGGAATGTATAAAGAGAAAGAATAGTGTTGGTCCAAATATTAGTAATGTAATAAAAGGTAAATATCGATTTTTAATGTTTATGTTAATAACTTTAGGTTTAATTAATTGATATTTATATATTACCTTAGCTTGAAGAAATGTTATATAAAACAATACAATACGCTAAGAACGCATATGAGGAAGCAATTTCTGACAATGGAGCTGCAGCTCACACTGAAAATACCAACAAATTTATAAAGGAATATAAATCGTCTGGAAAAGGAAATGATATTGACTGCAATGACGAAATTGTTAAAGGGTCCGCTAAAAAGAAAATATCCTGATACACTGTAAGTGTCATGTTCATTATATTAACAGTATTTTTAAATTTTTTATCTAATGATCACCATCTAATTTAGACTACATTAATTAAATTATGTAATGAACTTTTCCAAGCTGACAAAAACCCTACAGATAATACTATGAAAGATACTATTTATACAGCTCTAAGTGATGAGCATCCAGATGAGATTAAAAAAATTGAAAGTATTAAGGATGAATGGCTTAAATATTAGTCTGAGGTGTTATAATCATTGGTAAATTATCAATCATACTTGATAATAATATATATCAAAAACTGTAATGCTGACAATTTTTATTATTGAAACAAACATATAGGCGCATTATAAATTTCATGTTAAACATGTAAGATATATCTGAAATATTAAAAATGCCATAATAAATGTTTTTGGAAAGACATTTATAGGAACTTATCCAGGCTATAATGCAATATCATCTGAAGTTTTAGAATGGAAAACATCAAAGAATGTGAAATAGGCTTGTAAAAATCTTTGGAGTAAAGTCAAGAATGTAAATAACCCTAGTGATACCTATATTAGTCATATTATGCAAGAAGTTTTAAAAACAAATGAATGTATTACAAATAATTGCTTGTTTGTCATTTCAATCGTAGAACTCATGTTTGATCCTAAAATTCAAACAACTGTACTTTCTGGTGAATTGATAAGCAAGCGAATGATTAGTCAAAATGAATAGCAGAAAAAGGCATTAGATAAAAATCATGAATTAGATGAAAACAAGATTGGTTATGAGGATACAGATGATTAATTACTAAATGTATACATGGAAATTTTTAATAATTCGGAGAGGGATATTTTTTATTTTTTAGCAATTAAATAAATAAATCATATGCTATACTTTGCGAAAATCAATGTTTATTAAATGTTTATTGTTAATGTACTGCAATAATTTATAATGATCATCAATTAAATGCTCATTAGTTATATCAACGAATGGTAGTATGTGCATTGATGTATATTAGAGACTGATTTACATCAGATTATACATCAATTTAAAACTTACTGATGATATTCTATGGAATAATAATGCTATTTATCAATGAATTAAATAAATCAGATACTTGGTATCTTGTTGATGGAAAACATCCAATGAAGTGCGAAGTCAGAATGATTCTTATAATTTCATTACAGAAAAAGAATTATTGAAACTTTGAAAAATGGATAGGAACAAGAAAACTTTATATGCTAGTATGAACATGGGATGAAATATCTACATGTATTTCCAAAAACACATTCAATGATTTAGCAGGAGATTCAAATGTTTCTTGTAAAGTTTTATATCCAAAAGTTGATTATAAAAAGGCCAGAAAGTTATTTAAAATCTGAGAAGAGGTTCTGTAAATTGTTTTATAAAAAGCAAGTACAATACCGGTAGAGTTGATACATTAAGAAATGGATAGTACAATTAAAAGTTGTGATTTTGATATAATAGTAAAAAAAGTTGAAGACGTGATTGATTCTAAACTTGAGATTAACCATAAGATTATGCATATCTATACTAATATTCCTAATGAAGAATTTAATGATAATAATATTATGAATATATATGAAGGATTTGATTCTATAGGTAAAGAATTGAATAATGATAATATAAATGAATTTTTTCGTAAAATAAATATAAAAACTTCTATCATACAGCAAGCAAATGATACTTTTTGCATCAACATATGTAAGTGAAAGAATTATAGAACGTTATGAGAATGAGAAAAAGAAAGAGTTATGTAATTTTTATCAGCAAATAAAAATCAAATTAAATATGCAAATTTGCAGAAAAATTTATTTAAAGCAGTTACATATAAGTTGTTATGAACTGGTGGAAAGTTTGAAACATGTTGCTGAGAATTTGAAAATTATGAAACAAAAACAGATATATTCCTAAGCATTAGGAATAAAATTTTCCAATCAATAGAAAAGATTAATATAAATTATGAATATTATCAATCACAACAAAAAAATTTATTCTCAGTGGATTCATTGGTTTTACCAAATTTGCTTTTTTAGATAACTATTAATCAAAATTATGGTATCAAAGTTAAAGGATTAAATGATTTTAAAAATATACTTGATATTAAAAAAGAGATCAAGTTTTATTTTATTATCCTACTGGAATGTTTTGATAAAATGAAAAGGCAATTATTTCATACTATACTATAAAAGGAAAAAGTTTTCAAAAAATACCTTTCTGGATTAAAAATCAAGTAAAGCAATATACTCTCAAGATTGATTACCATAAGTACTGTTAAACAAAATTATGAAATACTGTAGGTAATTATTTTTTATAAAAATATATTTTTTTCCTAGATATAGCATTTATAATATATACATCAAATCAAATATATGTATTGTTTTTTGTCAAGAATTTGGATATAGTATAATAAATTCGAAATTGACTTGCAATACAAATAAATATACTGCATTTAGAAATGAATAATTAAAAAAATCAAAAGCGATTTAACTTAAGATTTCTTCTTATATGCTAAAATAAGTACTTCTAAATCCAATAAATTATAAATTATAAAAATTCTATTTCTTTCTAAGAATACTTAAACTGACCACACATATCACAATTTCATTTGATAATTTTAACTATTGTTCATATAAGAGATATCGGTTATGTGATATGTTCCATATACTATACTTATTAATGATATTTCGTTAGTTATATATAAATAATTAGCAATAAAAGAATAAAACATTCAACTTATTTATAAATAATAAAATTTTCTTTTTTTTTAACTACTTCTTTATATAAAATATATAATTTATTGGAAATTGCTTACCATCACCTAGACAATTAATACCTGGATGATTATCGCTTAAGCAATCATTGTCTAGGATTTTTCTAAATATATCACATAATGTATAATATATAAATAAATATAACTATTATCTATTAACAATTATTAAATTTGCTTAATTGTCCAATTAGTTCAGTAGTTAGAATGTTAAATAAACTTTTTTTTTTAATCTTAGAAATGCAGATTTGACTGTACTGAGCCTTTAATTTTTTAATTTTTTTCAATATTTTTATTGTTTTGAAGTTTTGAGTTTGAATTTGCATATTCATTCAATAAATTGTTACACCTTTAATTATATCCCAATTTTAAAATCCTTTATTTAAACAATAATAATTCATTATTCTATACTAATTATTCATAAATAAATCATTTAGAATTAGATTCTTTAGATTGCACCTATGCCATTATATCCAATACCTTTACAGTGACTGTATATATATTACGATTGATGAATACTAGTAGTTCCACTTAACTTTGGCTTTTGATTTTCTTCTGATGTATTCTTTATATGCTTTCTTCAAATACCTTTTGTACAAATCTAATAAGGGTTACTAATATTCGGCAAATTTTCTTTGTTGGTCTCTAGTAGTTTAAAATGAGTTTTACATTCCTTCACTCTTATCCATCTTTGTAACATTTCATTTAATTCATCTTCACAGCCTATTTTAAGAGCTAGTTAAACTGCTTTTTTGCATAGCTAAATTGTAATTATATTCAGCTTAATAAGATAAATTTTGCTTTACAGTTTCTGAAAATACTTGTATATGATGAATCTCATGTAATAGGTATATTTCATTATATTTTATTCAAAAAAAAATACATTTGATTTTTTTAAAGAAAAAAAAAATAAAGAAAACAGTTAAAAACCTATTAAAAGACCACTTTGATTTACTTACCTTAATATATTCCTAAAAAAAAAATAAAGAAAAATAAAGAAAACAGTTAAAAAAACACTAAAAAAATATTTATCTTAATGTATTTCTAAAGAAATTAAAGAAAAAAATAAAGAAAACAATTAAAAACCATCAAAAACCACTTTTGATTTATTTATCTTAATGTATTCCTAAAAAAAATTAAAGAAAAAATAAAGAAAATAGTTAAAAACCTACGATAAACTACCTCTGATTTACTTATTTTAATGTATTCCTTGTATTTGTTTTCGTACTTCTGTATAAATTTATTATTTCAATAAAGATTAAGCAAAACTACTGCATATTTAAAAAAAAAAAAATAATAAGAATATCAAACATTCTAAAAAACTTTTTCCAGTAATCCACCAAATCATGCCTAAATAAGAAAAAAAATTTAATAACAACTCAGGAAAGAAAGCTCAATGCAGCTGTTCTGGCTTACTAACAAATGAAAAAGCAACTAAAAAACTTCAATTTGACATCCAAAACTACTCAACTCCAATAATAACCAATACTATTGAAAATAATAAAACCAAAGAAATTGAAATGGAAGTCAATCCAGTTCTTTCAACTTCTAATGATAAAGAAAAACAACCTGAAATTATTACTCCATCAAATGACTAATATGGTGAAGATAAAAGCTTTGATACTTCCAAAAATTTCTTGAAATATAAAGGCCTAAATACCAACAATATTATTAACTTTGAGAGGGAGGATGATACTCCCATATTCTTTGCTTACTGTACTAGTGAAGATTTCCTTTCAGATTGTCCAAATAAAGAAAAGATTAATGCATCCAATAAAATTTTTAATAGATCTCAATTAGCCTCATTCATTGGTATATTTGTTAGACCTCACCCTGAAAATAAACAAACTAAAATAGTCTGAATTGGATTTTCTACATGTGCGGACTTCAAATATGCAATAATAATGAAGATTACCTAATTAGATAATCATATATTCCTCCCTTTAGCTATAACAAATATAACTAAATTCATCCTGAACTGTTGATCAAAATCACTGAGATCCTGATATTTACCCCAATCCAGAATTTCAGATCATAATTTGCCTTTTTGGTAAAATTACTTAATGCGCTATGACAACCAAAAATCTTTAGCAATAGGTTACAATTACCTATGAAGAAGGAATAGATATAACACAATTAGATGATATCTATAAATACTTTATTCTTAAAAACTTGGTGCAAGTCTATTGATACATCTTGACTAATGAGACCATTAAAGCAAAATCTAAATATTCTTTTAAATTGACCAATCTACCAAGTGATACTAATAGCTGTCAGTTAATTTCTATTGGTCATGATGTCAAGATCTTGACTTTTGTCATTCTAAAATCAAAAGCTAACTATAAAAATCTACAATATACTGTATTCTATTTTAAAAATAAAGACAATTTGAAACTGCATAAAATGTAAATACCATCTATTTTGATCATAAAAGACTTATATAGATTGAACCTAATAGTAAACTCTTTTTCATCTGCTCTGTACCAGAACATTATTCAGATAATTGCAGAAAAGTTCGATAAAATCCAAAGGATTATCAAACGCAGAATCTTTACTAATGATATCAGCCTGCTTAGTTTAGGAATTATACTACATTTCCTAGACTTATCTTCAAATCAATTACCTTCGCTCATGTGACTGGTGATAAGGGTAAAGAAAATGATAAGAATGCTAAACCACAACTTTCTAAGATCTTACTAAGACCCAATAGTTAATCTAATAAGAATCAAACTATCAAAGATGATTCATTAGATACAAGTATTCATATACATGATAACTGAGCTGATGAATCAAAGGTCTTACAGCCAACATCAAAAGGATACAAATATCCCTTTAATAAGTAAAGTAAATCTACACAACCTGATAAATTAGACCAATTAATGGCAAAAATTATATGCACTTACCAACTAACTTATTCAGTTACATGATAACCTTAATTTTACCAATGACAGAGTTAACTAAAGATAGTTCCTATAATTATTTTTAAAATTTTTAACTAGTTGCAACTTAAGTTGCAACACTTTGAGTTGCAATTATTTATGAATTTTTATATTAAAATAAATTTACAAGGAGTTGCAACCAAGTTGTAACTCAAGTTGCAACTTACCGAGTTGCAACTTCTTAATTATGATATCTATCTTTAGAGTTAACTCTATAAAAGCACTTTTAAATGTTTACTTCACTTCTCCCAAATAAGCTGCAATATTAAATACCTAACCTACAGGTAAAGTTATGAAAGAAGATAATTACATAATGATCCCAAGTATTGATGTCTCTAAATCAATCATTCTCATTCATAAGATTAACATTAATAATTTAAAAAAAGAAAATCACCATCTGAAATGTAATTTACAAGAAAATATTATCAAATTGAATGAGGCTTTAAGAGTAGTTGATATAATGCAACAAATGATGTGTTTTTGATAAACCAAAAGATTTTTTACAATTACTTCAGAGAGAATTTTCATCTTATTCCTTTTCATTATAATCATAATCAATACAAATAATAATAATATTACTTTATATTCTTTATCATCACCATACCATCTTCACCATCTTTTGTTAATATAGTTACCCATAACATTATTTTCTTAAATAATTCAACTAAATAATAACTCCTTATAAACCTATATAAATAACATAACTGTGATATTATTATATTACAAGACCTTAAATTTAAAACTTACCAATCTATTTTCACTTTTAACAAAAATTTTAACAATAATTATTGTGTCCTATTTAATATTTTACCAGATCTTAACGAACAGTCAACAAGTGTTAGTATCATCTTAAAAAATAATTTGCTTATCATATTTTTCATCACAGTGGCTTTTGGGATTACATTTTATATATAGACTTATAATTACTTAACAAATACTATGTTCGTATTATTAATACCTATATCACCTCTTCAGATAATAATTTAAGAAATGCATTATATCATAAGATAGTCAGTCTCTTCAAACAAGTAAATCAAAAGTCTATACAGATTATCTTGATCAGTGATTTAAATGCTGAACCAAAAAGAACTACAATCTAAAACATTTCAACCAATTTTTTACTTATTAACACAATGGAATCTCTTCAATATTGGTAATATTTGCTATGATAATGCTAATATTAGTGTTCCACCTTCCTATGAGCTAGTCATATACCTAGTAGAATAGACTATATATATTGTTTTATAGAACTAGCCCAACCATCGTTTGCCTAGTATTCAATTATAACAGATCTTTCAGATCATAATTTACTCCTAATCTCATTAGATTGTCCACAATAGAATTGTAAAAAACCATCTTCTTCTATTAAAAAATCATATTTTGGTGTAGAAAAAATGATCCTAGAAAATTAGAATAAGTTTGCTTTATAAACTGATATGTTAGTTTCATTTAGATCTATCAAGAACCTTAATGTTACTAACCTATACTCTCAAAGTAATATAAATTTTTATGGAATGTTCTTCAAAATATTATTATAACAGCTGCAAAAAAATATTCCAGTAAAACAATCAAGTGACTATGTAAAGAATCTTCAGCCCAAGTTTTATTTATTATATTTATATTATTTCTTTTTATTTATTTATTTTTTTCTTATGATTATTAAAATTAAAAAAAATATAATTTATATATTATATCAAAAATCATCTAATTTAAAATATTTTCAAGTTAAAAGTGATTAATTATAATTAATCTCTAATTTTAAATTATTTTTATTTTAGAACTTTAGAAATACAACTTTAATGATTAATTATTAATTAATTTTAATATATCTGATTTATTTTGAAATATATTAATAATTATTAAACATTCAAATTTGTAAGCATTATATATTTTATTTTGAAAATAGAAGTAGGTTTAAAAAAAAGTATTTTTTTTTTTTACAATATGAGGTGAAATCATCATCATCTAATAGACGTATTAATTTCATTGATTTCATCCGTTTTCATACAATTTACATCTCGGAGTATTCTTTACATTTTTTTATGGTTTTCTAATAAAGTCAAAATTCTTTTATTTCTTACATTCGTGAAAATTTGAACAATTTGATAATGGCTATGACTCGGGTTTTATTATGCGACCGTGTTTAATGATACACCACTGCTAGAACATTTGTAGAATTATTGAGGTTTGATAAAGTAAACATGGTCGAACATTGAATTATTTGAAATGAAAATGAGTAACTAATGATATTTTTTCGTCTAACATTAATTTGTTTTCAACCACACCTAAGTAAATCAAAAAATCAAAAAAAAAAAAAATTTCAAAAAGTTCGAATCATATGCCAAATGACCAATGCCATATGATGATAATATATTATTTTATTGTATCATTTAAATTAAATTATCTAAAAATGTAACTATATTTAATAAATTAAAGAAAGATATTTTGTAAAATTCTCTTTAGAATTAGAGTAAATTATTCAAATCCATTTCTAACATTTTCATAGATACTATCAGGGAAAAAACAATGATTTGAAATTTGATCAAGTGCATCTTTACCACCTAATCCATGATATGCCGCTAATAACAATGAACGTTCATTAGAAGTAGGTAAGTCACCACTTATTTCCCAAAACATTACTCCACGTAAATCGTTTCGTTTAATATAATCAGTCTTTTGATAGACAACTTGTGGACTATCATAGGTAATGAATTCTTTTTTAGATGCACAATAACTATAGCTAGCAACTTTCTTGTCATCAAAGTATTCAACTGAACCTGGAAGTGGCAATTTCTTATAATCATATATCCCTTGTTCCCAATTTCCTTCACCAACTCCATTATATGAGGAACCCAAGCCATTTGTGTTTTGAAATGCTCGACCATACATCGGCATACCAAGAACTATCTTATCATTATCTACTCCTTGATCGATATAATATTTCACAGCTTTATCGGTAGACAAATCGACTCCATATAAATTTGATTGATGACCTGCCTTACTTGACCAAGATCCCTGAAAATCATACGCCATAAGATAAAAGATGTCAAGATATTTATTCATCTTCTTCAAATTCATTTTTCGATATTGATCTTCACCACATGGCATCGCGGCAGTCAATAGAAACTTGTATGATGAATTACGTGATCGAGAATAATTATCTAATGCCTTTCTAAGCTCCTTTAACAGCTTGACATAATTCTTAGCGTCTTCTTCATTTTTAGGGTATTCCCAATCAACTAATAAAGAAAAAAGGTAAATAAATAATTTATAAGGTTTGCGTCAAATAAATATGACTATTTTCCAAATGAACTTACCATCTAAACCATCTAAGCCTAAATCTTTGAGTAAATTAATAGAGGAGGTAACAAATTTTTCTCTCGAGTCAGAATTAGCAGCAACGGTCGGAAAATGTGTTGACCATGACCAACCTCCAATTGATAAGCTAACTTTGAGATTTCTGTTCTTTTTCTTTAATAATCCTAATTGTTTAAAGTTTCCATAAAGATTTTTTTTTTCATCATTCCAAGAGTCCTCATCAAAATGTTTGTCTGTATCAGCCCAAGCATCGCCTAAAAATACTTCTCCATCCGGTTTTAGGTTTGCAAAGGCATACAAAATATGAGTTAATTTATTTGCGTCCATGTCAACAACATTATATGCTCGAGCATAAATACTCCATGATGTAAAATAAGCTGCAACAACTTTTCTACTTTTACTCATTGGAGGTATTGGTTTTTCGATAGGAGTTGATATTGGGGCCGGTGTAGTAGTAGGTATAGGAATTTGCTCCGATTGTTCAATTATATTGGTAGTATTTTCTAAATAAAGCAACGAAGGAATTGTTGTCCAAACAGTTATGCCTATAGCTAGAAATAAAAAAACGATTAAAATGTTTACTTTGGTGCTACGTTTGTTTTTAGGTTGATGGGAACTTTCAGAAGTATTGAGTTGTTCGTATTTTGTCATTTTTATATTTAATGATAGAAAATGTATTTACCAAAAAAGTCAGTAACTAACGCTAATTAATTTTTATGTGTTGTAATTCGAGTAACATGAATACTGATTTATTGAACTAACAATATGTTTTTTTAACTCCAACTTTTATAATTATCCGGGCAAATTTGCCCCTAAAATCAGGGTTGGCAAATGACCAGGTCTTTTGATAAACAGTTTGACCATAACCAGGTCTTAATGGTCTATTGGTTAATTGGTCAAGGTGGCGCAGCTTGCATTTTTATTGGCAAATGACCAAGGTCATTTGAGGTCATTTGAGGTCATAGACCTATGAAAAGACCACAAATAAACTTCTAATTAATCAGGTCTTTTGGCTATTAAATAAAATTGATTATCATACAACATTCTTTTTCATTCTTTTTTTAAAAGTTTTCTTTATTATATTCAGCTCTAATTTTATTTCAATTAATATTATTATAATTACAAATAATATT